ATTTGATGTGAAAAACTACGTGGAGTGCTAGAAACTGCCAATTTGACCTGGAATGGTGAAGCCAGTATCTGAGAGCAGAACTCAGTTGACCAACGTCCTTGGTTCCTCAGGGAGGTCCTTCTGGTTTTTAAAGACATTCTTGAAGAAATGGACAATCCCAAGTGTCCAGATTTTTTCCTGCCTGTGCATTTTCAAGGAGCTTTTATGATTTGATTAATTTTAGTTTTGTATTGACTTGGGATTCAGGCAGTGCTGTCTGGATTTAATGGGACTAAGACTGAACTTGGAACAGAACCTCCTGATGCCCTGGGACATCAGCGCAACTGCCACTGAGCAAACACATTGCTATTCCTCAACACCACTAACTCTGTCCAGTAACAATAAAAGCTCTCTTCATGCAGAGAAGAGCATCTCTGAGCTTCAAATGGTAAAAAGTTTTCAGTGTAGACTGAAATCCTGCAGTTGTGAGGAGCTGGTGCTCTGACAGCTTTGGTACCTGGGAGTCTCTCGTGTTGGATCAGTTTTTGGGATGATTTTTTCCTGGCACTATTAGTGATCAGACCCAATGTTTGCCTCCACCTGCAGTAGGTGGACAGAAAGAGATGTTAAATAAAATGATTAAACTTGCCTTTTGGATGCAGCGTCTTTTGGGTTGAATGGATACCAAAGGAGGCAAAGGGGCTTTGCCTTTTGTTCAGCTGATAGACTGCGGAGAGGTGATGGAGGAGCAGGTTAAAATTACATTGCTGAGAAGGGTATTGGCGAGCTATGTACAGATTTAATAAACGACCAAACTGTTTTCAGACAAAATGTGTCTGTTTAGTGCACTGCCTTCAGGACCTCATGTAAAGAAGCAGAGGTGTGATGGTGGTGTTGGGCAGGAGCAGCTTCAATTCACAGAGCTGTTGATTCATTGTTTCAGCCGTGTTTCTGGATAGGGATACGTGTGTTAATGCTGTGCTGCCCTGCGGCGGGGCAGGGCACTGGTCACTTGGTTCATGTTGCCGCTGGTGGCGGTGGTACCCGAGTGCCCCCCGCCGGACCGTGTCTTGCCGGGCGCCCCGGCCAATAGCGGCGGTTTGCGCTGCCGAGCGGTGCCCGTGCTCTGTCTGTCGGCGCTGCAGGCTCAATCCTCTCTGCACAGGGTGTGCAGCGCTGCGGGAAGGGCAGCGGCCGGTCCCGGCTGCCGGAGCCGGCGTTTCCCATCGCCCGCGGGGGAGGGCAGCGGTGGGAAGGGAAGGGAAGGGGAGGGAAGGGGAAGGCGGCGCTGGCAGGAGTGGGACCGAGCTTGAATTTGTCTCGTTTCAGGCCCCCTTCATTCCACAATGTCTCTGGGTTTCCTGGAGTGCCCAGCCGGGCCGAGGCAGGAGAAGGAGAGCCCTGGGCACCAGCTCGCAGGGCAGTGAGAAGTGAGTGCGTTTCAGACACAGCCTCTCCCACCGGGAGATCCCTCTGGGCTGCCCAAGTCCAGAGTGGCCTTGAACACTGCCAGGGATGGGGCAGCCACAGCTTCTCTGGGCACCCTGTGCCAGCGCCTCAGCACCCTCACAGGGAAGAGCTTCTTCCTGAGAGATAACAGAAGTTTCCAGCAAATGCTGGGTGCCCCAGCGGGGTGCATCTTGTGTAAATCTCCCTTACAACAGGTCCTTGTATAAACCCAGCAGTCCCAGCACTACTGACTTTTATCCCACTGCTGGTTTAGCTCTTTCAGCATTTCTGTGTTGTACCGGCTGCCACCACCACCACCACCTCCCACAGCCTGGCCTCCCGTGTGGTGCTGCTGAGCCCCTGCTTGTATCACAGGTCCTTTCTGGAGGATGATTTCTTCAGCAGGCGCCATGCAGAGAACATGGGAGCTGCAGAGGTGAGCCCAAATTTCAGGAGAGAGCTTGGATGTCCCGAGGGCTGGGGCTGAGCAGGGCCAGGATTGCCCCTGGTATGGCGCCATGCAGGTCAGCAGTGGGGTATCCGGGGTGAATGGTGAAGTTTGTCTGAAGAGCTGCGGAGTTTCCAACACACGCTCCTCTCTGGTGTTTCCCCTCCCTGCCATGCAGGGATCCCGTTCTCCTGACACAGAGCTGCTGCAAACCGGGCCCATATGTGCATAAATACCCCCCATCTCAGCCCCACATACGCTGCAGCCGTGAGCAATTACATGCATTGTATGCATTATATGCAGCCACATGAGCAACACCCGCCCCCCTCCCATCCTCGTCCTCCTGCTTCTCAGTCCATGAAAGACCACGAAGGTTTGATCCTGGCAATGCTGAAAATGAGTCGCCGGCCATGGGAGACACCTGTGAAAGGTGCTGGGAAATGTGTCTCCCTGGGAGGAGGTGTAGAAATCGCAGGGAAGCACCTAGCTCCTGAGAAAGTTAACAAGGAGATTCGCCTTTCCTTTTCACAGCCTGCGTGCAAATGAGCAGGGCATGTTTTGTGTAGGACAGGGAACAAGAAATGCTCTTGTTCCTGAACATCCTTTTGCTCGTCCCTTCTGGGGGAGCGTTGTTCTGGCCATGTGTTGTCCCCTGGGAGATCGCTGGTGTCCTACCAGGCTGTGATTACAACACTAGCATCAGCAGTAAGAGCAGCCGTGCTGCTGCCCCCTCCAAACACCGTGTGGCTGTTCCCGCTACAAAGTGTTCCTTTGAGATCCTGTTGATCTCTGTGGGAAGAGAGCCAGAGGGGTTGCATTTAAGATATGTCTGTCCTCAAAGAGTCCTGCTCTTCCCCAGGCTCTGTTCTGGAGATGATTCCTGGGGGCATTTGCATTTTCACGTGTGCTTCGGTTGTTAATGCCCGTCTGTAACACTTGGGAGCCCTGTGTCAGGGGGATTCTGCCCAACTTCCACACTCGGGCAAGGTTTTCCTGGCACGGGTGAGATCTGGTTGTCAAAGCCTGTGCTTTAGCCAAGATCAGCATCTCTTAAACCTCGAATGTGCTTTAGGTGATTTAGGTGGGCTTTCTTCTCCCACCTTGCTTTGCCTAACAATGTCCAAGCATTAAAGCCCCCAACGTGGGAGTTCTTATCTTCTAGGAGAAAGAAAATGTGGAAAAGGTGAACAGGAGTGTGATTCTTGACTGTTTGAGGTACGTTGTACATGTCATTGCTTGTATGTGTAGTTGTCATTGCTTGTCTGCTGCTTTTTGACAATTGAGTACATTCAGGGTGAAGTACGGTACAATCCTAGAATGGTTTGGGTTGGAAAGGACCTTAAGACTTCCAACCCCCTGCCACGGTCAGGGAGACTTTTTACTAGAGCAGTTTGCTGCAACTGATGATAATGCTGATGATGATGCTGGCTTTTTATTCTGCTGATGTGGGAGAGTGTGGTGGAAAATCACTGGTTTAGGGTCACTCAGAAAATGACCATCAAAGGTATTAACAAAAGCAGTTTATAAATAAGGCATGATTGAACAGAATTTGATGGCAAGGCTCACTCTACTACTTATTATATAGATGAAGTGTAGAGAGGGAAGAGCTAAAGGGCATTGGTATAGTGCCTGAAGGCATAAAGATACAAGGGAGACCCTGCTGCTGAGTCATGATGTTCAGAACAGATGCCCCCTCCTTTCTAAACTCCTGACAGAGCCTGGGTGCGGCTGGATCTTGTCTTAGTCTCAGACTTGGTCAACAATTTGGGTCTCATGGAATGCATAAAGGAAAATCAAGGTAGAACCAATCTGGGATGGTTTGTATGAACACTGAAGGGGACAAGGGTAAAGGGGACCCTCCCCTAAGTGACAACATTCAGAACTGGCTCCTATCTTAGTCTCAGACTTGGCCAACGGTGCGTGCAGTGGAATGTAACCTTGAGAGTTTATGAACTCTGAGGGGTGCCCCACTCAGAGGGAGCGACCTGGTTGCAGCTCACTGCAGTCCAGGAGAGCCCAAAGTGTCTCTCGGCTGGGACAATGACTTACAGGGTCATAAGAGGATTGGCTTTGGGCATCAGTTCCATGCTGACCTCAGTGGTGTGTGTGTTCCACAACAGTTCTGTTCCAGGCTGTCAGGAAATGCCTGCTCAGCCCAGAAGTGCTCTGGGTACAGGCAGGGAGTTCCCAACCATCCAGATCCCTGAGTGCTGCACTCTACCTTTGCCAGGCAAGAACAGTTCTTGCTACAGCCATGGAGCGCCCAGCCATCCAGCTCGTTGCACTTGTGGAAAGGCAATCATCATTGCCGGCGGATGACAAGAGCAAAAGAGGAGGCTCTCTCAAGGCCAGAAACTATGGAGAAAGCCATAGTTTTACCAGGGAGTAACGCTTCTGGATACTCTGCTAGTCAGGACTGGGGAAAAGGGAAGGAGCAAAGAAAGATGACTCTCGCGGAGATGATGCTCGATGTCTTTATTGAGATAATAAAGGGAAATGGAACAGATGAGAACTTAAGCAATGCGTTTTGGAGGCCGAGTAAAGCTTGGGTAAGAGGTGGGAAGTGATGGGAAAGCAGAGCAAGAGAAGGGAAGCCAGAGGTTTCCTGGGCAGAGAGAGAAGGGCAGCACAGGCCCCTTCTTGCAGGCGGAGCGGCCGGAGCTCGGCTCCTCTGCAGAGCACAGCCACGCTTCTCGGCTCTCGGGGCTGTCTCCAGGGCTTTCGTGGAGGGCTGCTGGTGCTGGAGCAGAGGCAGGCAATGCACAGGCTTCAGCATAAGAGATTGCCACGTCCCAGAGCCCCGCCGAGCCCCCGGCCCAGCCCTGCCCAGCCATAGCCCCCCAGCCCCAGGGAGCCCCCAGAAGCGATGGGCACGCTGGCAGCGCTGAGAGAGCTGCCCACGGCAGCCGAGGCGCTGGATCCCACGGCTGTGCTCTGCGGGAAGGAGCTGAGGATCGGGCCCGGCAGCGTCACCAGCACTGGCGAGGGCTGGATGGCAACGCTGGAGTCGGCGCAGCGCAGGACGCACGGCTCGTTGCAGCTGTTGGCAAGCGGGGTTGGGCCGCAGGCAGCGGGCAGGCACGGGCTGTAGCACGACATGGCTGCTGGAGGGAGGAGAGCCTTAGACAGGGAAAGATTTTCTGTGGCAGATCAGGAGGATCCCTCTCCTTGGAATCGGCTCTGCACTTCCTGGCCATCAGCCCTTCTACCAGCACCCATTTGTTCACACAGCCGAACGCCCTGCCCTTGAGCGCCCTGGTCTTGCCAGGTCGGGCTCCTCTCGCCCTGCTCTCAGGAGGGCACATGGCTGAGCACAGCGCAACAGGCTCCTGAAGACAGCAGCCACTATGGAGGAAGGTGTGAATGGTGGGACCACCTCTCCCGGGGGAGCTCCTCATCCTGCCATTAGTGCAAAAGCAGCATCGCTGAACTGTGGATGGTGGAGGAAGTGCCCAGTCATCGGATAGACAGTGCTGGCCATAGGACCTGAGCCCTGGAAAGAACCACGGCTGGCAGAGACCAACCCATGTCCTGATCCACATCCCAGCCTATTCACCAAGATCCAGGGAGGCCCTCATCACAAAAACCTGTTCTGCCAACCAGGGAGACAAGAGGCAAACTGAACTGAGACTTACCAACTTCGCGGAGCAGAGGAAGGCACGAGGAGAGGATGGAGGAGCTGGCAGTTGGGCCGCTTTTATACTGCAGCCCAGAGCCCCAGGGGAGCTGAAAAATGACCCAAACACGAAGCATGTTGAGAAACGGCAATTTTGGCTTCCCAGAGCTCAGCTGGAAGATGAAAGACATGCCTCCTCTGCCTGAAATGCTTGGTCCCTTTTCATCCTGGAAAAATCACTCATGTCACTGTGTTGATAGCAATTGTGGTTCTCCCGCAGACCAGCGCTCCTTTGAGGTCCCATTCCAGGTGCTGGTGAGGCCTTGGGGCAGATTGAGGCCATGACTGGGTGTTGTGCAGGTCCTGCCCTTCCTGGGCAACGTGGCCACTGCTTACTTAGCACTCTGCCTGTGCAGCAAGGCTGAAGGGCACTCAGAAGGGTCTCTCTTTGGTGGGCTCTGGCTGGCCCTGAGCAAGACCAGTGCCTGCAGGCTGTGGAGATGCTCAGAGCCCAGCCAAGCCCCTGCAGGATGGCTGCTCTGCTGAGGGCATTGGGAACACCGGGGTGGTTGGGAGGTGATGGTCAAACAAAGCCCTCCTGAGCTCGGGAGGCAAACCCTCTTCTGAGTAGAAGCAGTGGCTCAGCACATCCTGGAGAGCCATGAAGGAGCTGTTGACTCATGCCTGAGTGTGAGACAGCACCAAGTGAACCTGTTGGCTTCAGCACCCTCTTCCCGAAGAAAACAACGCTCCTCTTGCATCACTGGAGGGTGGCTTGTGCAGGTCACTTGACCCGGAGGGTCCGGCTTGTTTTGCCCAGCTCAGGGACAGATGGGCACCTTTAGGGCCCATTAATTGCAAGGGGGCAGGAGCAGCCACCAGAAAGAGCTGAGCCACTCGGAGAGACCTCAGCTCCACCTCAGGGTGAATCACCCATGACCTGGCCCCAGGGGCTCTGGGGCAAATGACCTCAGCTATGCAGAGGTGCAGCTTCACAACCACATGCGTTCCTGCAGACATGCAGCTTTTTGCACAGTGTTGTCAGGACTGTCAGCGTCTTGCCCAAGCACATGGGGACTCCTTGGAACCCTGTCGTGCTCCTGGGTGAAACAGCAGCCAAAGGAGGACAGCACAGACGTGCCCTGACGCTCCCACTCCAAGACGTTTCCGCAGCGCACACCAAGGGGAGGCAGGCAGTGAGCACCATGCCTGGGCTGCTCTCCTCCTTGGCCTGCCCCTGCCCTGCTGCTGGATGCAGAAGGCTGGGAGCCATTCCTGTGCCATGGGGAGCCCGGCCTTGGCTGTGCCTGAGCAGAGCTGAGGCAGCTGGAGAGGGCACACACATCCACTGCCTCAGCAGCTGTGTGGGAACGCCCGAGGGCAGGAAGCGGACACCACAGGCCCGCACTTGCTCCCCGGGAAGCCTTCTGCTTTGAACTGCAGGCACCAGAGGACACGTCCTTGCCAGGCCGGCCAAGGACACCCAAAGTGGAAGCACCCTCAGGCAAATGCCCACGGGTTTGCTCCTCTGCCCCTTTGAGCTGGCACCCCTGCGGCTGATGATGCACTTTGGGAATGAGAATTTGGGGACTGAGAAATGACACAGTGCCCTGCAGCAAGACCTTTCCCCCTTCAGCCTTTTTATCCCTGCTTTGAGGCCACCTCTAGGAATACTCCCAGTGCCCCCTTCATTCACACAGTGGTGCTTCTCTCCATCCCACAAAGGGTCCTTCTTTGGCCTTCACCTTCCAACCACCCCTGGGGATCTGAGTCCCCTTCTTTCTGTGTCCTTCCTCCAGAAAGGCATCCGGCCGGGTCTTGGCTGCTTACTGAGCCCTTCCGTGGCCCTGCAGGACCTGTGCTCCTCAGCCTCAGCCCTTCCACAGGTGACCCAGGCAAGTGCCCTTCATCAGCAGCGCTCCGCAGGTCAAGGCCAGGCTGAGAGGGGCCCTCACGCTCCCCAGCAAGGATGTGCACAACCCTCACACAGGGCCTGGAGCTGCTGAAACCCTTTCTGGAAGCTGGCTGGGACCTCCAAGGCCGTTGCTTACAGGAGCAGCATCGCATGCATCACCGCTGCACTCTCACCCAATGGGGAAATGCAAATCAGACCTTTCAGATGAAAGAGATGATTCTCCATCTCACGGCTGTGCTCTGCAAACCTCAAATTGCTGTTTGTTACCGTGCTTCACAAACACACACGTGTTCCACGTCTCCCGAGGCGCTGGCTCACTGTATAAAAGGCCGTGCTACTCCAGGCCCTTCCATCCACAGCTCTTCCCTTCCTCTCCTTGGTGACCTCGGTACGTCTGAACTCCCTTCTTGTCTCCTTTGGGTATGGGGGCAAATGCTCAGGTCCTGTGCGGGGTGGTTCTGATGCAGGGCTCCAGGCTGGAAAATGCCCTGTGCTCCCCTCTGCTGGGAGCTGGGACGGTGCGGGAAGAGGGAAGGCTTTTCCCTGGCCCTGGCCAGGCAGTGCCCGTTGCCAGAGGCGCGCAGCTGGTGCCTGACAGGGCCCGGCAGCTCATGGCCTCTGCTCCCTGTCTGGGTCCCGCAGGCTCTCCTCCCTCCAGCAGCCATGTCGTGCTACAGCCCGTGCCTGCCCGCTGCCTGCGGCCCAACCCCGCTTGCCAACAGCTGCAACGAGCCGTGCGTCCTGCGCTGCGCCGACTCCAGCGTTGCCATCCAGCCCTCGCCAGTGCTGGTGACGCTGCCGGGCCCGATCCTCAGCTCCTTCCCGCAGAGCACAGCCGTGGGATCCAGCGCCTCGGCTGCCGTGGGCAGCTCTCTCAGCGCTGCCAGCGTGCCCATCGCTTCTGGGGGCTCCCTGGGGCTGGGGGGCTATGGCTGGGCAGGGCTGGGCCGGGGGCTCGGCGGGGCTCTGGGACGTGGCAATCTCTTATGCTGAAGCCCGTGCATTGCCTGCCTCTGCTCCAGCACCAGCAGCCTCCACGAAAGCCCTGGAGACAGCCCCGAGAGCGTGGCTGTGCTCTGCAGAGGAGCCGAGCTCCGGCCGCTCCGCCTGCAGGAAGGGGCCTGTGCTGCCCTTCTCTCTCTGCCCAGGAAACCTCTGGCTTCCCTTCTCTTGCTCTGCTTTCCCATCACTTCCCACCTCTTACCCAAGCTTTACTCGGCCTCCAAAATGCATTGCTTAAGTTCTAATCTGTTCCATTTCCCTTTATTATCTCAATAAAGACATCGGGCATCATCTCCGCGAGAGTCATCTTTCTTTGCTCCTTCCCTTTTCCCCAATCCTGACTAGCAGAGTATCCAGAAGCGTTACTCCCTGGTAAAACTATGGCTTTCTCCATAGTTTCTGGCCTTGAAAGAGCCTCCTCTTTTGCTCTTGTCATCCGCCGGCAATGATGATTGCCTTTCCACAAGTGCAACGAGCTGGATGGCTGGGCGCTCCATGGCTGTAGCAAGAACTGTTCTTGCCTGGCAAAGGTAGAGTGCAGCACTCAGGGATCTGGATGGTTGGGAACTCCCTGCCTGTACCCAGAGCACTTCTGGGCTGAGCAGGCATTTCCTGACAGCCTGGAACAGAACTGTTGTGGAACACACACACCACTGAGGTCAGCATGGAACTGATGCCCAAAGCCAATCCTCTTATGACCCTGTAAGTCATTGTCCCAGCCGAGAGACACTTTGGGCTCTCCTGGACTGCAGTGAGCTGCAACCAGGTCGCTTCCTCTGAGTGGGGCACCCCTCAGAGTTCATAAACTCTCAAGGTTACATTCCACTGCACGCACCGTTGGCCAAGTCTGAGACTAAGATAGGAGCCAGTTCTGAATGTTGTCACTTAGGGGAGGGTTCCCCTTACCCTTGTCCCCTTCAGTGTTCATACAAATCATCCTAGATTGGTTCTACCTTGATTTTTCTTTATGCATTCCATGAGACCCAAATTGTTGAACAAGTCTCAGAATTAAGACAAGATCCAACCACATCCAGGCTCTGTCAGGAGTTTAGAAAGGAGGGGGAATCTGTTCTGAACCTCATGACTCAGCAGCAGGGTCTCCCTTGTATCTTTATGACTTCAAGCCCTATACCAATCCCCTTTAGCTCGGTTTTACCTCGATTTCCCTCTCTACAGTTCATCTATGTAATAAGTAGTAGAGTGAGCCTTGCCATCCAATTCTGTTCAATCATCAATTCTGTTCAATCATGACTTATTTATAAACTGCTGTTGCTAATATCTTTGATGGTCATTTTTTAAGTGACTCTAAACCAGTCATTTTCCACCACAATCTCCCAGACCAAACAGAATAAAGAGCCAGGAGCAGCCACAGCAGCATCAGGAGGAGGACACTGACGAGGTGGCCGAGTGGTGAAGGCGATGGACTGCTAATCCATTGTGCTCTGCACGCGTGGGTTCGAATCCCATCCTCGTCGGTCAGCTCAGTTGTGCCCCACATAAGGCTTTGTTTTGAGAGGACAGTGGCCTGGAGGGACCTTTTAAGGCTTTCAAGTGGCTCGGCACACACCTCAACCTGTTCTGTGTGCACCTAGGCAAGAGAAACAAGAAGGGAAGCAAGGGAGATCCACAAACTCACAGGAATCTCACTGCCTCCTTGATGCCTGCAATGATGAGAGAGCAGAACACCTGGGAAGTGTTTTACAAGAACAGGTAGCAAAGCATGGTGCTTGGGATTCGGAAGCATGGGTTTATGAAGGAGAAGTCATCCTTACGATGCTGGTAGTTTCTACAGGGAGGTGACTAGCCTGATGGAGAAGGCAAGAGCAGTCGATGTTGTTCACCTTGCCTTCAGAAAAGCTCAACAGGCGATAGGATCGAAGAGGAAAATACAAGTAAAGCACTTTCTGTCACACAACATTTGAAGTAAGATTTTGATGGGAGACATTTCTCTTACCTCTTCACAGAGTCTCAGAATAGCTGGGGGTGGAAGGGACCTCCAGAGATCATTTAGTGCCAGCCAACTGCTCCAGCAGGGTCACCTTGAGCTGCTTGCTTAGCACATAATCCAGTTGGGTTTTCAGCATCTCCGATGATGTTCACCACAGGAACTTTATCCCCCTCTACAGTAAGTAAAAGTTCTGATCGTGCTGGGCCAGCCCTGTTGGCAGATCCCCTCGTGCTGACCAACCCTGTGGCTTATTGGTAAATGTGTATCCCCATGTCTGAAAGTCCCACCACTCATTGCTTTTAGTGTAGGTTTTAACAACTCCATTATAGTGTTCGATTTTCCCAGAGGCTGTTGCATGGTACAGGATGTGATATACCCACTCAGTGCTGTGCTCTTTGGCCCAGATGTATGAGGTTGCTCTGGAAATGAGTCCCATTGTGTGACTCAGTTCTCTCTGGGGTGCGGTATCGCCTCAAAATCTGTTTCTCAAGGCCCAGGATAATATTCTGGGCAGTGGTGGGAGTGTGATATAATCGATCTGCCAGGCCTCCCCATAGTTGTTCTTCAGCCATTGTTCTCCATACCAAAGAGGCTTTAACCAATTGGCTTGCTCAAATGCAGCACAGGTTTCACACTTGTGAATAACCTGGGAAATAGTGTCCATTGTTAAGTCCATCCCTCGATCACGGGCCCATCTGTATGTTGCATCTCTGCCCTGATGGCCTGAAGTGTCATGGGCCCACCAGGCCAAAAATAATTCACCCTTATGTTGCCAGGGCTAAGAATAATTCCCCCTTACATTGCCAATCTAAATCCGTCTGAGCCACTTCAGTCTTAGCAGCGTGATCTACCTGTTGATTGTTCTGGTGTTCCCCAGTGGCCCGACTCCTGGGTACATGAGCATCTCCATGGCGTACCTTCACCACCAGGGTTTGCACCCAGGCAGCAGTATCTTGCCACAGTGCAGAAGGCCAGATGGGCTTACCTCTGTGTTGCCAGTTGCTCTGCTTCTATTGCTGCAACCACCACCACAGGGCATTTGCCACCACCACCTTGCCACAGTGCACGATACCCACAACCTCTTGGAACAACCTGATCCAATCTTTGACCAGCCTCAGAGTGCTGCTGATCCCACCCCCAACCGCCTGCCCGTGCAGCCTCCCCCAGCTAAATGGGAGCACTGCCCACACTGCCCTGGCTCTGAGGGATAGTGCGTGGGAAATTAGATGCTTCATCAGCACCTTCATCGAAGTGGCCAGGCTCAGGGAGGAGCAGGAGAGCAGAACTCTCTCTCAGAGATGAGCTGGCACCATGGAGCCATGGGGCACCCAGCCATCCAGATCGTTGCACTTGTGGAATGGCAATCTCCATTGTCATGGGATGTCAAAGGCAAAAGAGGAGGCTCTCTCAAGGCCAGAAACTATGGAGAAAGCCATAGTTTTACCAGGGAGTAACGCTTCTGGATACTCTGCTGGTTGGGACTGGGGAAGAGGGAAGGAGCAAAGAAAGATGACTCTCGTGGACCTGATGCCCGATGTCTTTATTGAGATAATCAAGGAAAATGGAACAGATGAGAACTTAAGCAATGCATTTTGGAGGCCGAGTAAAGCTTGGGTAAGAGGTGGGAAGTGATGGGAAAGCAGAGCAAGAGAAGGGAAGCCAGAGGTTTCCTGGGCAGAGAGAGAAGGGCAGCACAGGCCCCTTCCTGCAGGCAGAGCGGCCGGAGCTCGGCTCCTCTGCAGAGCACAGCCACGCTCTCGGGGCTGTCTCCAGGGCTTTCGTGGAGGCTGCTGGTGCTGGAGCAGAGGCAGGCAATGCACAGGCTTCAGCATAAGAGATTGCCACGTCCCAGAGCCCCGCCGAGCCCCCGGCCCAGCCCTGCCCAGCCATAGCCCCCCAGCCCCAGGGAGCCCCCAGAAGCGATGGGCACGCTGGCAGCGCTGAGAGAGCTGCCCACGGCAGCCGAGGCGCTGGATCCCACGGCTGTGCTCTGCGGGAAGGAGCTGAGGATCGGGCCCGGCAGCGTCACCAGCACTGGCGAGGGCTGGATGGCAACGCTGGAGTCGGCGCAGCGCAGGACGCACGGCTCGTTGCAGCTGTTGGCAAGCGGGGTTGGGCCGCAGGCAGCGGGCAGGCACGGGCTGTAGCACGACATGGCTGCTGGAGGGAGGAGAGCCTGCGGGACCCAGACAGGGAGCAGAGGCCATGAGCTGCCGGGCCCTGTCAGGCACCAGCTGCGCGCCTCTGGCAACGGGCACTGCCTGGCCAGGGCCAGGGAAAAGCCTTCCCTCTTCCCGCACCGTCCCAGCTCCCAGCAGAGGGGAGCACAGGGCATTTTCCAGCCTGGAGCCCTGCATCAGAACCACCCCGCACAGGACACAAGCAGCCCCCCTCCAGCTGCCCTGCTGCCTCTGGGTGCTCCTTCACCACGGGACTGGCTGCTGGCACTGAGGGCATTTCATTGCAATCCCCCTGCTTGCTCTTGAAGGCTTGGTAGGTAAGGTCCCCAGAAAGACTCCTCATTTAGCCCCCATAAGACCTGAGCCCTGGAAAGAACCACGGCTGGCAGAGACCAACCCATGTCCTGATCCACATCCCAGCCCATTCACCAGGGAGGCCCTCACCACAAAAACCTGTTCTGCCAACCTGGGAGACAAGAGGCAAACTGAACTGAGACTTACCAACTTCGCGGAGCAGAGGAAGGCACGAGGAGAGGATGGAGGAGCTGGCAGTTGGGCCGCTTTTATACTGCAGCCCAGAGCCCCAGGGGAGCTGAAAAATGACCCAAACACGAAGCATGTTGAGAAACAGCAATTTTGGCTTCCCAGAGCTCAGCTGGAAGATGAAAGACATGCCTCCTCTGCCTGAAATGCTTGGTCCCTTTTCATCCTGGAAAAATCACTCATGTCACTGTGTTGATAGCAATTGTGGTTCTCCCGCAGACCAGCGCTCCTTTGAGGTCCCATTCCAGGTGCTGGTGAGGCCTTGGGGCAGATTGAGGCCATGACTGGGTGTTGTGCAGGTCCTGCCCTTCCTGGGCAACGTGGCCACTGCTTACTTAGCACTCTGCCTGTGCAGCAAGGCTGAAGGGCACTCAGAAGGGTCTCTCTTTGGTGGGCTCTGGCTGGCCCTGAGCAAGACCAGTGCCTGCAGGCTGTGGAGATGCTCAGAGCCCAGCCAAGCCCCTGCAGGATGGCTGCTCTGCTGAGGGCATTGGGAACACCGGGGTGGTTGGGAGGTGATGGTCAAACAAAGCCCTCCTGAGCTCGGGAGGCAAACCCTCTTCTGAGTAGAAGCAGTGGCTCAGCACATCCTGGAGAGCCATGAAGGAGCTGTTGACTCATGCCTGAGTGTGAGACAGCACCAAGTGAACCTGTTGGCTTCAGCACCCTCTTCCCGAAGAAAACAACGCTCCTCTTGCATCACTGGAGGGTGGCTTGTGCAGGTCACTTGACCCGGAGGGTCCGGCTTGTTTTGCCCAGCTCAGGGACAGATGGGCACCTTTAGGGCCCATTAATTGCAAGGGGGCAGGAGCAGCCACCAGAAAGAGCTGAGCCACTCGGAGAGACCTCAGCTCCACCTCAGGGTGAATCACCCATGACCTGGCCCCAGGGGCTCTGGGGCAAATGACCTCAGCTATGCAGAGGTGCAGCTTCACAACCACATGCGTTCCTGCAGACATGCAGCTTTTTGCACAGTGTTGTCAGGACTGTCAGCGTCTTGCCCAAGCACATGGGGACTCCTTGGAACCCTGTCGTGCTCCTGGGTGAAACAGCAGCCAAAGGAGGACAGCACAGACGTGCCCTGACGCTCCCACTCCGAGACGTTTCCGCAGCGCACACCAAGGGGAGGCAGGCAGTGAGCACCGTGCCTGGGCTGCTCTCCTCCTTGGCCTGCCCCTGCCCTGCTGCTGGATGCAGAAGGCTGGGAGCCATTCCTGTGCCATGGGGAGCCCGGCCTTGGCTGTGCCTGAGCAGAGCTGAGGCAGCTGGAGAGGGCACACACATCCACTGCCTCAGCAGCTGTGTGGGAACGCCCGAGGGCAGGAAGCGGACACCACAGGCCCGCACTTGCTCCCCGGGAAGCCTTCTGCTTTGAACTGCAGGCACCAGAGGACACGTCCTTGCCAGGCCGGCCAAGGACACCCAAAGTGGAAGCACCCTCAGGCAAATGCCCACGGGTTTGCTCCTCTGCCCCTTTGAGCTGGCACCCCTGCGGCTGATGATGCACTTTGGGAATGAGAATTTGGGGACTGAGAAATGACACAGTGCCCTGCAGCAAGACCTTTCCCCCTTCAGCCTTTTTATCCCTGCTTTGAGGCCACCTCTAGGAATACTCCCAGTGCCCCCTTCATTCACACAGTGGTGCTTCTCTCCATCCCACAAAGAGTCCTTCTTTGGCCTTCACCTTCCAACCACCCCTGGGGATCTGAGTCCCCTTCTTTCTGTGTCCTTCCTCCAGAAAGGCATCCGGCCGGGTCTTGGCTGCTTACTGAGCCCTTCCGTGGCCCTGCAGGACCTGTGCTCCTCAGCCTCAGCCCTTCCACAGGTGACCCAGGCAAGTGCCCTTCCTCAGCAGCGCTCCGCAGGTCAAGGCCAGGCTGAGAGGGGCCCTCACGCTCCCCAGCAAGGATGTGCACAACCCTCACACAGGGCCTGGAGCTGCTGAAACCCTTTCTGGAAGCTGGCCGGGACCTCCATGGCCTTTGCATTCAGGAGCAGCATCGCATGCATCACTGCTGCACTCTCACCCAATGGGGAAATGCAAATCAGACCTTTCAGATGAAAGAGATGATTCTCCATCTCACGGCTGTGCTCTGCAAACCTCAAATTGCTGTTTGTTACCGTGCTTCACAAACACACACGTGTTCCACGTCTCCCGAGGCGCTGGCTCACTGTATAAAAGGCCGTGCTACTCCAGGCCCTTCCATCCACAGCTCTTCCCTTCCTCTCCTTGGTGACCTCGGTACGTCTGAACTCCCTTCTTGTCTCCTTCGGGTATGGGGGCAAATGCTCAGGTCCTGTGCGGGGTGGTTCTGATGCAGGGCTCCAGGCTGGAAAATGCCCTGTGCTCCCCTCTGCTGGGAGCTGGGACGGTGCGGGAAGAGGGAAGGCTTTTCCCAGGCCCTGGCCAGGCAGTGCCCGTTGCCAGAGGCGCGCAGCTGGTGCCTGACAGGGCCCGGCAGCTCATGGCCTCTGCTCCCTGTCTGGGTCCCGCAGGCTCTCCTCCCTCCAGCAGCCATGTCGTGCTACAGCCCGTGCCTGCCCGCTGCCTGCGGCCCAACCCCGCTTGCCAACAGCTGCAACGAGCCGTGCGTCCTGCGCTGCGCCGACTCCAGCGTTGCCATCCAGCCCTTGCCAGTGCTGGTGACGCTGCCGGGCCCGATCCTCAGCTCCTTCCCGCAGAGCACAGCCGTGGGATCCAGCGCCTCGGCTGCCGTGGGCAGCTCTCTCAGCGCTGCCAGCGTGCCCATCGCTTCTGGGGGCTCCCTGGGGCTGGGGGGCTATGGCTGGGCAGGGCTGGGCCGGGGGCTCGGCGGGGCTCTGGGACGTGGCAATCTCTTATGCTGAAGCCCGTGCATTGCCTGCCTCTGCTCCAGCACCAGCAGCCTCCACGAAAGCCCTGGAGACAGCCCCGAGAGCGTGGCTGTGCTCTGCAGAGGAGCCGAGCTCCGGCCGCTCCGCCTGCAAGAAGGGGCCTGTGCTGCCCTTCTCTCTCTGCCCAGGAAACCTCTGGCTTCCCTTCTCTTGCTCTGCTTTCCCATCACTTCCCACCTCTTACCCAAGCTTTACTTGGCCTCCAAAATGCATTGCTTAAGTTTTCGTCTGTTCCATTTTCCCTTTATTATCTCAATAAAGACATCGAGCATCATCTCTGCGAGAGTCATCTTTCTTTGCTCCTTCCCTTTTCCCCAATCCTGACTAGCAGAGTATCCAGAAGCGTTACTCCCTGGTAAAACTGTGGCTTTCTCCATAGTTTCTGGCCTTGAAAGAGCCTCCTCTTTTGCCCTTCACATCTCATATCAATGAAGATTGCCGTTCCACAAGTGCAACGAGCTGGATAGGTGAGCGCTCCATGGCTGTAGCAAGAACTGTTCTTGCCTGGCAAAGGTAGAGTGCAGCACTCAGGGATCTGGATGGTTGGGAACTCCCCCTCTGTACCCGGAGCACTTCTGGGCTGAGCAGGCATTTCCTGACAGCCTGGAACAGAACTGTTGTGGAACACACACACCACTGAGGTCAGCATGGAACTGATGCCCAAAGCCAATCCTCTTATGACCCTGTAAGTCATTGTCCCAGCCGAGAGACACTTTGGGCTCTCCTGGACTGCAGTGAGCTGCAACCAGGTCGCTCCCTCTGAGTGGGGCACCCCTCAGAGTTCATAAACTCTCAAGGTTACATTCCACTGCACGCACCGTTGGCCAAGTCTGAGACTAAGATAGGAGCCAGTTCTGAATGTTGTCACTTAGGGGAGGGTCCCCCTTACCCTTGTCCCCTTCAGTGTTCATACAAACCATCCCAGATTGGTTCTACCTTGATTTTCCTTTATGCATTCCATGACACCCAAATTGTTGACCAAGTCTGAGACTAAGACAAGATCCAGCCGCACCCAGGCTCTGTCAGGAGTTTAGAAAGGAGGGGGAATCTGTTCTGAACCTCATGACTCAGCAGCAGGGTCTCCCTTGTATCTTTATGCCTTCAAGCCCTATACCAGTGCCCTTTAGCTTGGTTTCACCTTGATTTCCCTCTCTACACTTCATCTATATAATAAGTAGTAGAGTGAGCCTTGCCATCAAATTCTGTTCAATCATGCCTTATTTATAAACTGCTTTTGCTAATACCTTTGATGGTCATTTTTTGAGTGACCCTAAACCAGTGATTTTCCACCACACTCTCCCACATCAGCAGAATAAAAAGCCAGGATCATCATCAGCATTATCATCAGTTGCAGCAAACTGCTCTAGTAAAAGGTCTCCCTGACCGTGGCAGGGGGTTGGAACTCCATGATCTTAAGGTCCTTTCCAACCCAAACCATTCTAGGATTGTACCGTACTTCACCCTGAATGTACTCAATTGTCAAAAAGCAGCAGACAAGCAATGACAACTACACATACAAGCAATGACATGTACAACGTACCTCAAACAGTCAAGAATCACACTCCTGTTCACCTTTTCCACATTTTCTTTCTCCTAGAAGAAAAGAACTCCCACGTTGGGGGCTTTAATGCTTGGACATTGTTAGGCAAAGCAAGGGGGGAGAAGAAAGCCCACCTAAATCACCTAAAGCACATTCGAGGTTTAAGAGATGCTGATCTTGGCTAAAGCACAGGCTTTGACAACCAGATCTCACCCGTGCCAGGAAAACCTTGCCCGAGTGTGGAAGTTGGGCAGAATCCCCCTGACACAGGGCTCCCAAGTGTTACAGACGGGCATTAACAACCGAAGCACACGTGAAAATGCAAATGCCCCCAGGAATCATCTCCAGAACAGAGCCTGGGGAAGAGCAGGACACTTTGGGGACAGATGTATCTTAAATGCAACCCTACTGGCTCTGTTCCCCCAGAGGTCAACAAGACGGCTGCCCCATCCCTGGCAGTGTTCAAGGCCACGTTGGACTTGGGCAGCCAAGAGGGATCTCCAGGTGGGAGAGGCTGTGTCTGAAATGTACTCACTTCTCACTGCCCTGCGAGCTGGTGCCCAGGGCTCTCCTTCTCCTGCCTCGGCCCGGCTGGGCACTCCAGGAAACCCAGAGACATTGTGGAATGAAGGGGGCCTGAAACGAGACAAATTCAAGCTCGGTCCCACTCCTGCCAGCGCCGCCTTCCCCTTCCCTCCCCTTCCCTTCCCTTCCCACCGCTGCCCTCCCCCGCGGGCGATGGGAAACGCCGGCTCCGGCAGCCGGGACCGGCCGCTGCCCTTCCCGCAGCGCTGCACACCCTGTGCAGAGAGGAATGAGCCTGCAGCGCCGACAGACAGAGCACGGGCACCGCTTGGCAGCGCAAACCGCCGCTATTGGCCGGGGCGCCCGGCAAGACACGGTCCGGCGGGGGGCACTCGGGTACCACCGCCACCAGCGGCAACATGAACCAAGTGACCAGTGCCCTGCCCCGCCGCAGGGCAGCACAGCATTAACACACGTATCCCTATCCAGAAACACGGCTGAAACAATGAATCAACAGCTCTGTGAATTGAAGCTGCTCCTGCCCAACACCACCATCACACCTCTGCTTCTTTACATGAGGTCCTGAAGGCAGTGCACTAAACAGACACATTTTGTCTGAAAACAGTTTGGTCGTTTATTAAATCTGTACATAGCTCGCCAATACCCTTCTCAGCAATGTAATTTTAACCTGCTCCATCACCTCTCCGCAGTCTATCAGCTGAACAAAAGGCAAAGCCCCTTTGCCTCCTTTGGTACCCATTCAACCCAAAAGACGCTCCATCCAAAAGGCAAGTTTAATCATTTTATTTAACATCTCTTTCTGTCCACCTACTGCAGGTGGAGGCAAACATTGGGTCTGATCACTAATAGTGCCAGGAAAAAGTCATCCCAAAAACTGATCCAACACGAGAGACTCCCAGGTACCAAGGCTGTCAGAGCACCAGCTCCTCACAACTGCAGGATTTCAGTCTACACTGAAAACTTTTTACCATTTGAAGCTCAGAGATGCTCTTCTCTGCATGAAGAGAGCTTTTATTGTTACTGGACAGAGTTAGTGGTGTTGAGGAATAGCAATGTGTTTGCTCAGTGGCAGTTGCGCTGATGTCCCAGGGCATCAGGAGGTTCTGTTCCAAGTTCAGTCTTAGTCCCATTAAATCCAGACAGCACTGCCTGAATCCCAAGTCAATACAAAACTAAAATTAATCAAATCATAAAAGCTCCTTGAAGATGCACAGGCAGGAAAAAATCTGGACACTTGGGATTGTCCATTTCTTCAAGAATGTCTTTAAAAACCAGAAGGACCTCCCTGAGGAACCAAGGATGTTGGTCAACTGAGTTCTGCTCTCAGATACTGGCTTCACCATTCCAGGTCAAATTGGCAGTTTCTAGCACTCCACGTAGTTTTTCACATCAAATATCCATTGCGTAACATTTGTAAAGTGCTTTGAGATAGTTCCATGAAAACACTAAGTTAGAGGAAGGGCAAAATATCTCTTAGCAGCACCTATCTGCTTACTATTACGACATTTCTTTTTTTCCCTTCAGATCAGCATCGCTATATCCTCCTTTGCCTTCTCACTCAGAGTCTGGTGCCAGCAATGGAGAAGGCACACAGCAAAAGCTGTTGCTGCAGGGCAGTGAGAGGATGCACTGGAAAACATGAGGATGTTTTCTGGAAGGATGAAGGAAGCAGAGCTCCAGAGGAGGACAGGTATTTACTTCCCAGAAGGATGAGTATTTCCTTCCCAGCTACCTCAGGAAAGGAGTGCCCATGCAGACTGATGTGCACAAAGCTATGCAGGAGGCTTCAGGCTGCACAAATATTTGCTAAACAAGGAGAGAGGTGGTGCTAATCATAAAAATAAAACCAAAATCAAGACATTGATGCTTTTTTGGGGGGAGGACATAACTGCTCTTTAGAAGCCATGGCCTTAGGGATGTTAACCACCTAGTAGTAAAATCCTGCTACCATTCCAGTTGACAGCAACTGGTCTCCAGTTAGCAGCTTCACAAAAGCAATCCTTGTGTGAATAGATAAAGCTTTCCCAGATTTCTAAAAGGTTAATCTTACCATTAGAATTGCACTTTAAAAACAGGCATGGATCCCTGTGCACTCTCCCCAAACACCTCCTCGACTTAGGAAAGTGGAAAGAAAGGCTACAGTTATTCACTGTCCTACAGCTACCAGGGTTTGAGAGATTTGATTGAGGTGCCTGAAGGAAGAACACAGTTTTCAGCTCAGGAAAAAAACTCAGCAGGTTTCACAGCTTGGCTTGCATTGGCTTCAGGTGTTTGTGGAAAGACTCGTGAACCTGTAAAAGGAGAGAGTGGTTACAAGCAGATCAGGCCTCATCTTTAAACCATTTTAGCTCTTCTCTTCTTGCAGTGGGGTTTTATACCAAGGAGATCCGAATCAGAGGCACTCCAGAGATGTAAGATCAGCCCGCTAACTCCTGTATTTGAGTGTCTGTGTGACACAAAGCACGAGCTATAAGGACCCTCCCCAAGAAAAGAGCCTTCGCACTACCTTTCTTGTAAGAAAAGAATGCAAGGTATCTCACATCCATACAGGCCATGGGGCATTTTAATTAAAATCCAAATGGGAGACGTTTCCTAGGGGGACTAATGAAGCTCCTAAGCCCCACTGACTTCAGGAACTCAATAAAATGGAGCGAGTTCTGTTGCGATTCAGCTACAGCTGCAGTCCCTGGCAGCCCATCATAGGCTGGCTCACCATTCTTCTCATGCTGAGGAGAAGCTCACGGAGGGACTTCCACTGAATGTGACCAATCAGCCTGATACCAAGGCAAAGAAAACAACACAGGCTGAGAAACAAAACTCAGTAAAGCAAGAACAATTGAAAGCATGTGGAAAAACAGAAGGAAGAGGTTGGCCATACACAAGCAAAGTTTAAATCACCG